ATAACTTCTTTTTGTGTGTATGGTACTGGAGATGAAGCGAGAGCCTTGACTATGCTTGGCAAGCACTCTACCACTGAGCTATATCCAGATCAGGAAGAATAAGTTCAAGTGCACAGTTGGATAGCTGTGGTGATAGTTACAAACAAATCACTGTATATTTCAAAATAGTAGAGACATTTGAGTATTTCCAGAAGAATAAAAGGTAAATGCTTGAGATAAGAGATTTATCAATTACCCTGATCTGATTGTTACACATTGTATACATGTACTGAAATATTACATGGCACCCTACAAATACGTACAATTATATGTCAATTAAAAGTTAAAACATTTTCAGATGTGGACTTCCAGATTATCACAAAACTTTTACTCTCAGAGACAGATTTTAGAATAGATACAACTCTTCTAATCCTATATTTCTAAATTGGTAAAAATTCTGTTAATGCTGATAATCTTATAACTCTTTCACATTTGTAACCTAGCCAGTCACATAAACATGTCTTTTATGTTTGTAACTTTGTCCTCATGACTCTGCCAAAGAGGTAAGGATATAATTTTAGTAGCAAGAAATCTGAGATAGACAGCTAGTGGGATTTTTTTAACAAGGTCTAAAAGGGTAAATCTAGGGTTCAGGTTTGAGAGCCCAATTTAAAAGTATCTCAAACTACCTACACAATATTTCTCTACTATAACCAAATGAAACAAGCTTTATGGCAAGTCTTCAACCTCACAATCAAGCTACTTCTCAATCAAGGCCCAATCTATCTGCCAAGTCTTATCTCTCCTTAGACCATCATGTTTTACTACTTTATTATTATTATTTTGTTGGTCATAGGGCTTGACCTTTGGGCCTGGGAGCTGTCCCTCAGCTCTTCAGCCCAAGGAAAGAGTGCTCTAACACTTGAGCCACAGTGCCACTTCCAGTTTCCTGGTGGTTAATTGGAGACAAGAGTCTCATTGACTTTCCTGCCTGGTCTGGCTTTGAACTGCGATCCTCAGATCTCAGGCTCCTGAGTAGCTAGGATTACAGGCATGAGCCATTGGCACCTGGCTGACCCTGATATTATATACATTGGTTGATTCACATGGTCCCCAAACATACCTTCATGTACTCTCTTTCAGACTTTTGCTCAGCCTGGAATTCCTTCTCTTCCCTTCCATTTTCAAGGAAATCTGACTCACCCTATAAGGTCTGTTTCCATGGTTATCTTTCCTGTGAAGTCAGCCTTGTAACCCTGAGAGGCTTTTTCTTTGGTTCTTATATTGCCCAGGTGCCTCCACTGTCTGAGAAGTATCCACTCATGTTTCCTGGGTCTGCTTCCCTACTAGACTGGGGGCTCCTTGAAGAATGGGAACTAGATTCCTGGGATCTATATTTTCAGTGTTCATCTTAGTCTCTGGCACAGCTGAGACTATGCCAAATGAGTATTTGAGCTGTTTGTATCCATGTGTTTTAGATGTGGATAGGTAATCTCAGCTGGTAATCTCAGCTCAACCAGAGAGCTGCACAGAGATGGGAGAACTGACCAGGTCTGAAGTAGAAGATGGCACCTAGAAAAATTTCTCAACCATACGTAGTGGGTGGGGTGGAAAGAATAAACAAAAGAATGAAGTGCCCTCTGAGAAGGTCCAATGAACTGATTGTAAAAAGGGTTCACTCAGCATCAGATTCCCACTGCAGAATTAAGAGCTAAGCCACAAATTCTAAAATGGGTCTATCTCTAGGGCAGAAAAGTATACAGTGTTACTTCTTGACACCCATATGTCCCAATCTCAGTCCTATTTAAAATATCAATGAGAAATAAAATCACAAATAGGGTTCTTAATTGTAATACTTAGGATATGTGAATGTAAATGCATTGAGAGGTGTTAGAGGGCTGAGAGGGGGTTGGCCATAAGTACATACAAGGACTTCCGTGGCATCAGTTTATGATCTACTTCCTTCTCAGTCACTACCCCAGCCCATCACTCCCCCCACCTACTATTTTCAGCCCCATACCTGGGCCCCCAGCTTACTGCATAGTAACGCTGGAAGTGGTTTTCTATAAAGCATAGTGACTCAGGGAGAGGCATACTTGGAGGGTTGTGGGTGGTACTGCCATGGATACTACAGGAAAAAAAAGCAGGTGTGGTATTCTCAGGCAGTAGTCTTTAAAGAGATTTGGCTCTATTTTCTCACCCTTCGTGACCTTCAGCCCTCTGGGGGAAGTAGGCTAGGGATTTCAGTATCCATTTTACTGAGGAATCTACTGATACTCAGGAAAGCTAAAGCAGCTTGTTCAAAGTGTCATAGCAAATCAACCTTATATTTTATACCAATAGAGGAGGTACAAGATATAATATTTAGCACACATTTCACTCAAACTGTACATGCTGGAGAAACTTCCAAAGATGCTAGATAATTGCAGTTTATCCCACTGTCCTAAAAAGCCAGGCAAGAATGAAGAAAAATAAATAGGTACATTAGAGATACCATTTTCTTCCCAACTCTCCCATACCCATTCATAGATACTTCAACCCACCTCTTAATGCAAAGAACTGTACAGAGAGCCCAAGGAATGGATTTGGATTTGTGTAACTCCTGTCTACCTTTCCTTCTTTCTTACCTACCTGTTCTGTTTGAGGATTTTTCTTCCATCACTAATTATTCGACAGCTCTCCTGCATTTACAGACCCCCAAAGCAGATCCAGTAGGTGTCATCAAAGAGGAAACTTGGAGATATTTGTTGGTTCCTGGGAAGGCTGAGGAAGCACCCTTGTTAAGGATGTGTGTACTCTGTTGAAATATCAGCTGCTATAGTTGCCAAAGAAGTTCCTGAGCCACCCGGAGCCTTTTCTCTTCAATCCAACCATGTGTTCACCTTGCCCCAAAGGTCAGAACTAATATTAACAAGCCACAGCAGAATGGAGAAATTAAAACCAGCTGTCAAGACAAGCAAGATCTGGATTTCCTTAGAGCTGAGTTTCAGACTGGTCTTCAGTACAAATGGGCACAATTCTTTACTGGAAAGCAATCTGGTAATGTGAAGCAAGAGCAAGAAAAATGCTCATTTCCTTTGTCCTAGTTAGCCCCACTCCTGGGATTCAATCCTGAGTAAGTAACTCCCAAACCATGATGAGGCTCAAGGCACAGAAATTTGTATTTTAATTACAGAGCTATTTTCTTATAGCAACCTTTGAGTCTTCTGTGAGGTAAAGTGGCTCCTCAGGGTCCTTTTTACAGCCATCAAAAATGATTATTTTTATAACTGAAATTTTGGGAATAAACAATTTTGCTACCATTCTGAGTGAGAAACCTAAGGATGCATAGTTGTACTTTTCCCTGAAAATTTGGCATGCCTATTATTTTTGGTTTTTATGTTCTCAAAAATAAGTTGTGGCTAAGTGATGGGGGCTCACCCTTGTGATCCTAGCTACTCAGGAGGCTGAGATTTGAGGATCACAGTTAAATACCAGCTGGGGAAGGAAAGTCGATGAGATTCTTGACTGTTATTTCTAAAGAACTAGCAAAAATCCAGAAGTGGAGGTGTGGCTCAAGTGGCAGTGCACCAGCCTTGAGAAAAAAAAGAAAAAGAAAAAGAAAGTAAGGGACAGTGCCCAGGCACTAAGCATGCCCCAGTACCAGGGCAAACAACAACAAAAACAACCTCCTTCTTAAAAAGCCCAAATTACGAACATGTTGTTATTGCTATCGTCATTCATTCATTCATCTAATAAATATTTATTCCCTCCTGTTATATGCTATGTCCAGTGTTATAAAATAGAATAGAGCTGGGAATGTGGCTTAGTGGTAGAGTGCTTGCCTAGCATGTACAAAGCCTTGCGTTTGATTTCTCAGTACCACATAAACAGAAAAAGGCAGAAGTGGTGCTGTGGCTCAAGTGGTAGGGTGCTAGCCTTGAACACAAAGAAGCTCAGGGACAGTGCCCAGGCCCTGAGTTCAAGCCTCAGGACTGGCAAAGAAAAAAAAGAATAGAGACAGCTCTTACTGCTGGGTGACTTATGGCAACAGAAATTGAAGTTAATGGTAACTGTCCATTGTGTTAGGTGAAGTGACAAGGCGGCCACAGGGTGTTGGGAAAGGGAGACCCAGAGGAAAAGACCTAAATGAGAGGCATGTGTTCAGTGAAATCTTACTCAGGAAAGTAATCCTTGAGCTGATTAAGGTTTTGAATCTTGGCTCTAGCATTTCTGTCAGAATAAGGTGAATGCACTTAATTCCTTTCCTTTCTTCAACGCCTCCTACTGGATTGTCCTGAGAATGAAATGACGTATACAGAAAATCCATGGCTGGATCAGGAGGCATGGTTTCTCAGGAGCTTAAAATTTCTAGGCCTCGATTTTACTCATCTGGAAAATGGAGCCAAGAGCAAAATTGTATGTTTGGCCACATCGTTCTGGATGCTATGAGATGAAGCCAAAAATGGCTAGGGTCGATTTGGGACCATCTCCTCCTGCCCCAATAAAACTAGAGGCTATCCTCCCAAGTCTTAGCCCACTAGATCGGTTCTTACGGCTCCCTCTTCCAACCGCGAAGTTCCCTCCGCCCCAGCCCTGTGAGAGCACATAGCGTCAGCGACTGCCGCGGCGCAAGCGCCACAGCCAAAGGCGCACTTAGGTAGGCGGTCTTTTGGCACATGGGGCGGGACTTCGGTCTCCGCGTTCTGATGAGTTCCGCCGCTTAAAAAGAGGCAAAATCCCATTTGTAAGTCACCGGAAACACCAAGGAGAAACTTTTGAACAGAGGAGAAGGGCAGATAGACTCGGGACCTGGGGACAGAGTGAGGAGTGGAGAAAAGAAGGCTGGCCAGAATACTTTCTTTGGCGGTTCTTTCTCCCTCGGTATCTACTCCGCCCCTTTGACTTCCGCTCGCTGCCAATAAGAATGGAGGAATTCGAAGCCCCACCCAGAGTGTGTCAAGTCCTTCCGAGGCACGCGAGAGGACGCCTGCGCAAACGGGAGTGGAAGGCGGAGTCTGGCCGATTTTAGCGCGGTCAGCCGCTCGCTTGTGGCTGCTGGGACTTTTTGAAACGTCCTAGATTGCTTAGGATGTTGCGTTTAATAAGCTGGAATATCAATGGTATCCGAAGTCCCCAGCAAGGGGCGTTATGCCAGGAAGCACGCAGCAGTGCCATGACCACAAAACGTATTTTGGATGAGCTGGATGCGGATATCGTCTGTTTCCAAGAGACCAAAGTGACCAGTGAGCACTCCATCTAAGATCCTTACCATGTTTTTTTTTCCTTTTCTTGCTAATCTTGCCTCCTTGTTCCATCGCATTTTCTTTCCCATTTCCCTGTACTGAGTCCTTCCCTTAGACTCACCTCCAAATCCCCATTCATTTTAAACGTCTGTTTTCACTCCAGCTACAACCCCCAATTCCCCATCTCCTGTGTTCGACAGAACATTAATTGTCTCCCCCCTTGGTGCCCTCACGTCATTCAAATTCCACCTCGTTCTGTCACCCCAACTCAGTCCTTAACGCCAGCCTCCCCACTGCCAATTCCTACCCATAAGTCAGATTTCCTCAATTCTCAATCCTGCCCCCAGCTCAGATCCCACAATTCCCATCCCACCTTTGTCCCCACTTCAGACTCTCATTTTCATCCATTCCACATCCCCAATTTCCTTTATCTCCCTCATGTCTCTTCTTGAGATCAGAGTCTCTAATTCTCAGTTCACTCCCACCCCAAGCCTAGACTTCCTAATTTCCTCTCCCCCTTCCTAAATCCTCTTAGTTTTTCCTATCTTCATTTTCATTTCCACTCTCTAATTCCCTCTTAACTCCAACTGAGATTCCCCAGTCCTTCTCCTACATCCATCTCCATTTCCCATCCCTCATACCCTCCAATCAAGCTCCCAGGCTTAATTCTTAATTCTCTTTGCTCCTCACTAATTCTCCACTCTGTAAGCTGTCTCTGTAGGTTGTCTTCATTTTCTCACCTAACTTTTTTCATTCTACTGGCATTTGAACTCAGGGTGCTGTCCCTGAGTGCTGTCCCTGGGTGCTGCCTTGTGTTTGCTTGGCTTCCATGCTTGGCCACTCTCCCAGCCCTACTTTTCGCAGGTAATTTTGTAGATGGATTCTCATAGACTTTTCTTCCCTGGCTGGCTTCAAACCATGATCCTCTGGGTCTTAGCCTTCTAAATAGCTAGCCACCCAAACCTGCTTCACCAATTTCTTTGTTTTGCCAATCTTGGGGCTTCAACTCTGGGCCTGGGTGTTGTCCCTGAGCTTTTGTGCTCAAGGCTATGCTCTTCCACTTCTGCCTTTTTAAAAAAATAGTTTTTAGTGGAGGTGAGAGTCTCAGAAACGTTACTGCCTGGGCTGGCTTTGAACCGTGATCCTTAGATCTCAACCTCCTGAGTAACTAGATTTACAGGCATGAGCCACTGAAGCCTGACTCACTTTCTGATTTTTCTATCGATTATCTCTCTGACCTTTCCACACTTCTAGCTTCTTTCATCATGAATACTTCATTTTCACTGTCAACTCTGGCTCTGATGTGGACTAATAATTAGCCTACAACTGTAATCCCAGGCTCCTTATTTTACTTCTGACTTTATGTTACATTTTTTCCTCAGGGGATGTACTGACAGAGCCATTGGCTATCGTCGAGGGCTATAACTCCTATTTCAGCTTTAGCCGCAGCCGTAGTGGCTATTCTGGTAAATAATTTTCTGGGGACTTTATTGTGAGTGGTGGAGGAAAATGATGCAGAAAAGGTTTCTGTATCATAATTCTCATAATTGATGAGAAGGCTCTAGTTCAAAGAGCTAGAGACTTGCAACATTAGGTTATATCATTAGGTTATGTGAAGCCTGATTTTTTTGTCAGTCAAGGGAGTTGAACTCTGGGCCTGGGTGCTGTCCCTGAGCTCTCAGCTCAAGGCTAGTACTCTACCACTTTGAGCCACAATGCCACTTCTGGTTTTCTGGTGGTTAATTGGAGATAAGAGTCTCACAGACTTTCCTGCCCAGGCTGGCTTTGAACTGTGATCCTCAGATCTCAGTTTCCTGAGTAGCTAGGATGACAGGTGTGAACTACCAGTGCCCAGCATGAAGCATAATTTTTAATGTATAAAATTATCCTGTTGGACCTAAGAAGAACAGTCTTGTTTTAGTTAGTTGTGTGAGCTCTGGAGCCAGATTGCCTGGGTTTAAATTATGGCTCACTTCTCAGCAGTGTGCCCTCCACAAATTACCTATGTGTCTCAGCTTTCTCACCTAGAAAATAAGGATAATGGATACCGTCTTGGAGAGTATTGCATAGAGTAAGCATATCAATCCATGTCATAATAAAATCATAACTAATACTGTATGAGCACTTACCTGTATTCATGTAAAATACTTAGAGCATAGCTGTTAGTGTTCTGTGGCTTTTTTAGACAAAGGAATTGAGGCTTGCAAGTGTGAGTTAAGTTGCCTCACCTTTGAGACAGAGTCATCTACAGCCCTTGAGAGAGTTGTCAGTATATTAAAAAATACATAGTACCTTCTATTTGCAGTACTGTGGATTGAAATCAGGGCCTCATCATTGCTAGCAAGTGCTTTCTCACTTGAGCCACACTTTTAGCTCTTGTTATTTTTGAAATAGGGTCTTGCTTTTGGGCTAGGCTGGCCTGGAATGTGAGCCTCCTATATACATTTCCCAATGTAGCTAGATGACAGCTGCATGCCACCATGCGCAGCTTTTTTTCTGTAGAAATGGGCAGGGTGGTTATGAACTTCTGGGGGGTCTTCTTTGGCCTAGATGGGCCTGAAACCGTGATCCTCCTGACCTCAGTGCCCAGCATAGCTGAGATGACCAGTAGGTATGTGCCACTGCACTCAGCTATTGGTTTAGATGGAATCCTGCAAACTTTTTGCCCAGGTTGGCCATGAACTGGATATTTGAAATTTCTGCCTCCTGAGAAGCTAGGATTATAGGCATGAGCCATCACTGCTAGCCACAAGCCAGATGTTTTTAGTTGGTTGTGGGGCTTGAACTCTGGGCCTGGGCACTGTTCCTGTGCTCTTCAGCTCAAGGCGATTGCTCTACCACTTGAGCTGCAGCGCCACTTCAAGTTTTTCTAGTGGTTTATTGGAGATGAGAGTTTCACAGACTTTCCTGCCTGGGCTGGCTTTGAACCGTGATCCTCAGATCTCAGCCTCCTGAGTAACTAGGATTACAGGCGTGAGTCACTGGTGTGTGGCTCATGAGACAGAATTTTTTTTGGTCCAGTTGTGGGGCCTGAACTCTGGGTCTGGGCGCAGTCCCTCAGCTCTTCAGCTCAAGGCTAGCACTCTACCACTTGAGCCACAGCGCCACATCTGGCTTTTTTCTTTTTGCTTATGTGGTGCTGAGGAATCGAACCCAGGGCCTCAGGCATGCAAGGCAAGCGCTCTACCACTGAGCCACCTTCCCAGCCCAATGAGACAGATTTTTATGAGGATGACTTAGGTGACTTTTTTGTTGATGATTTAGACTGTGACAGGCTGTGCAAAAGGCTGTTGTCTACCAATCCTGTTCAGAGTACTTTATCTTTCTCTAGGTGTAGCTACCTTCTGTAAAAATAGTGCTGCTCCTGTGGCTGCTGAAGAAGGCCTCAGTGGTTTGTTTGCCACCCAGAATGGGAATGTAGGTTGCTACGGAAACATGGATGAGTTCACCCCAGAAGAGCTCCGGGCTTTGGATAGTGAGGGCAGGGCCCTCCTTACAAAGCACAAGATCTGGTAATATCCCCTATCCCCCAGCCAGTGAGCATTGCTGGTTCTGCTATGTGAAGATTCAAAGTTCCCTTTCTATACATGTATTTAGCTATAGGAATGTTTCTCAAGCTGCCTTTCCTGAATGCTAGTCCTGGCTGTGCTGTTGACTATGTTCTTGTCTGTGCCTGAGTTCCTATCTTTACTGAAGGACACTGAACTGGTAGTTTAGTTCTTTTTTTTTTTTTTTTGGTCGGCCGTGGGGCTTGAACTCTGGGCCTGGGCGCTGTCCCTCAGCTCTTCAGCTCAAGGCGAGCATTCTACCACTTGAGCTACAGCGCCACTTCCGGTTTTCTGGTGGTTTATTGGAGATAGGAGTCTCACGGTCTCTCCTGCCTGGGCTGGCTTTGAACCGCAATCTTCAGATCTCAGCCTCCTGAGTAGCTAGGATTACAGGCATGAGCCACCAGCGCCCGGCTTAGTTTAGTTCTTTTATTAACACAAGCTCCTCAAAAGCAACTTAGCTAATATGGAATTCATTTTTCCAAGTTTCACTGTCCATAGGTCTCTGTGTCTGTCTGTCTTTCTGTCTCTCTCTCTTGGTGTATCATCTTTATGAATGACAGCAGCAGCAGTTTCTTAAGTCCTGTGCATGCCTGCTTAGTTATGACGCCCCCACCAATCCCTTCTCTTAGTATCCTCTGGACAACCATTAACTGGGAGCCACATAGTGTGGGTACAGGAGAGATGGCTCGAAACTAACTCCTTTGAGGTTTCTTTTCTCCCCAGCACACTGGAAGGGAAGGAGAAGACTTTGACACTAATCAATGTGTACTGCCCCCATGCCGACCCTGGGAAGCCTGAGCGACTGACCTTTAAGCTACGGTTCTATCGACTGCTGCAGATTCGAGCAGAAGCCCTTCTGGCAGCTGGCAGGTACTTCAAATATGAGTAGCTGGGCTTCTTGAGATTTTCCTGGGTACCTCACCTTATACTCCATTGGAAGGGATTTTCTTTTAGTTCCGTCACTGCCTCATTGCAGACTACCTGAACAGGGCTTGCTCTCTAAGAGTTTTGAGGACAAGATAAAATGGCACAAACATGGATTTTGTATTCTTCTACTCTGGCTTTTCCGCTTACTGCAGGCCCCAAGGTTATCTATGCCTCTGTTTTCTCTTTTGTTGAATGTGTAAATCCCTATCACAGAAAAGAGGGGTGTGTGTGTGTGTGTGAAAGAGAGAGAAGAGAGAGAGAGAGAGAGAGAGGGAGAGAGAGAGAGTATGCTGCTCTTGGGGCTTGACAGAGCTTGGGTATTGCCCCTGAGCTTTTCTGCTCAAAGCTAGCACTCTACCACTTGAGCCACAGCTCCACTTTTGAATTTTTGGTGTTTAATTGGAAGTTAGTGTAGTACAGACTTTCCTGATCTGGCTGGCTTTGAACTGTGATTCTCAGGAAGCTGAGATCTGATGAAATGGGATGAGGATAAAAGTAACTAGAACCAAATGAGTCTTGTTGCAGGGTAGGACAGGAAAGTAAGGATAAGTGAAAGTAATCAAGAAACCCTTCCCAAAAGAAGTGATATCTGAGTTCAGCTTTGAAGTATGAGATAAATAGCAATATGTAGAAATAAATGGAGCAGTCATGTCAGACAGGGAACAATGGCATCTTTGGAGCTTAGAATTTGGTTGGTCACTAGTGAAAGACCTTCAGGTTGTAGTAAAATGTGAGCATGGGAGAGGTAGGCTACTTTGAGTAGTTGGAAGCTTAAGCCTCCCTTTGAGTGATGGTTTATGGGATTCCTTTAGCCTGGGAAAGTATATGGGCCAGTACTACTGACTGCTTCTTTTTTTGAATGTCTGGTTAACAACCCCACATTTTTTTTCAGCCATGTGATCATTCTGGGGGACCTGAATACAGCTCATCGCCCCATTGACCACTGTGATGCAGCCAATCTGGTAAGAATTCCTCTAGGTCTCAGGCCCCACTCCTGACTTTGGGTCTTTTCATCTACCTAGCCAATGCTGTTTTTTTTAATTGTAAAAGTACTATACAGAGGGGTTATAGTTACATGAGTAAGGTAACGAATACATTTCCTATCGAGCCCAATGCTGGGGTTTTGACCTTCAAGGCCAGCCAGCTTCCTTTATGGAAAAGCAGAACTTAGTTTGAAATACTATTGTTTCTTTCCTTAAATGACATATAATATTGGAGCTGTGGCTCAAAAGTATGGTGCCAGCCTAGCAAGCATGAGGCGCTGGGTTCAAACTACCCTGTACCACTGAAAAGGAAAAAAATGAAAAGAAATAATTGTGTTTGAGTGCCTGTGGCTTACACCTGTAATCCTAGCTACTCAGGAAGCTGAGATCTGAGGATCGCAGTTCAAAGCTAGCCAGGGCAGGAAAGGCTGTGAGACTCTTATCTCCAGTTAACCAGTAGAAATCCAAAGTGGCGCTATAACTCAAAGGCTAGAACATTAGCCTTTAGTAAAGAAGCTCAGGGACAGTGCCCAGACACTGAGTTCAAGTATAAGTACTGGCATACACACGTGTACGCACGTGCGCACACCCCCACACACATTTATATAGTAATATGTGATCTTTTGATGCTTATATATGTTATGCAGTGATGAAATTGTGATAATTAGCATGTCTATCATTTCATTGTTTCTCTGTGTGAGAAGCATTCAAAATACTTTTGGCTACCTGTTCTGAAACATATGATAAACTATTGCTAACTATAGTCACCCTACTATGCTATAGAGCATCAAAACTTTAGCCTTCCATCAAACTGGACTTTATGTCTGTCTATATGCCTTTCCCTCTATTCTTCCAAGCCTTTGGCAACCACTGTTCTAGTCTACTTCTGTAAGGTCACTTTTTGTATATGAGTGAAATACATTTGTCTTTCTTACTTATTTTTCTCATTTAATATGCCTATATTCTAGTTTTGCCCTGTTGCAAATGATAAAGATTTCATTCTTCTTTGTAGCTAAATAGTATTCCAGTTGTATATGTGCCATATTTTCTTTATTTGTCCATCAGTGGAGATCTAGATTGTTCCCATATCTTGGCCATATAATGCTGCAGTGGCCAGTCACCATTGGCATACACATATAATCCTAGCTGCTCAGTATGCTGAGACCTAGAGGATCACAGTTTGAAGCCAGTGCAGGTAGAAAAGTCTGTGAGACTCCATCTCCAATTAATCAGTAAAATACTCATGACTCAAGTGTTGGAGCTCCAGCTATGAGCAAGAAACCTAAATGCAAGGCCTTGAGTTCAAGCCTTGATAACTGCACAAAATAATAGTAATATTAATAAAGCTACAATGAACATGGTAATACAGATTTTTTGACATACTGTTAATTTTCTTTGGATACACACCTAGAAGTAAGATTAATCATGTGATAGTTCTGTTTTAAATTTTTTGAGGAAACCATACTGTTTTCCAAAATGATTGTATTAGTTTATGTTCCCACCAACAGTATATAAAAGTTCCTTTTTCTCTGTATCCTCATTTGTTAATTCTTGTCTTTGATAATAGTCATTCTAACTGGAGTGAGATATCTCATTGTAATTTTCCCTTATAACTTATGAGGTTGGATATTTTAAGTATATAAATTGTCCATGCATATATCTCCCCCGTCCCATTTTGGTGTTGTTACTGGGGCTTGAACTCAAGACTTGGTTGGGCACTGTCATTTTTCTTTTTTTTGCTCAAGGATGATGATCTGTTACTTGAGCCATAGCTCCATTTCTAGCATTTTGGTGGTAAATTGGAGATAAGAATCACACACATTTTCCTGCCAGGGCTAGCTTTGAACTGTGGTCTTCAGGGCTTAGCTTCCTAAGTAGTGAGGATTATAGGTGTGAACCACCAGCACCCAGCTCATTTGCCCATTTTTTGAATCCGATTTTTTTGTTGTTGTTTGAATTCCTTATATATTCTGTGTATTAATCAATTCTTAGATGACTAGTTTGTAGCTATTTTTCTCATTCTATAGCTTGTTCAATCTTGATTATTTTCTTTGCTTTGTGTAAGCTTCTTCATTTGCTACAATCCCATTGCAATACTGTTCTAAACGTACTGAAACCTGATGCTTCATTCAGTAGGTAATACCGATCCTGCTCTTGACCTGGCCCTGAGCCTTTTGCTAGGGATTCAGTTATAAGTCAGATATAGCTCACTTTGTGTGGCGGGGGTGGGGGATGGAGGAGGTGGGGGACAATAGACACATGGACAGCCAATTGTCAAATGGTGTTTTTAGACCTCCGGCAGAGATAGCAACCCTGGAGAAGTCCAGAGATGAGATTGCTAGGCAAATAGGGTCCTCAGGGCAGCAGATGAAAATAGCTGAATCTTAAAAAGATGAGTATTACAGAGTTTAAGGGGTAGAGGCAGCAAAACATTCCAGCATGGGCAAAGATTTTAAGTTGAGAAATTGCCTGGTATATGTGAGGAACTTCAAAGTGCTATCTTTTTTTTAATGCCAGTCCTAGGGCTTGAACTGAGGGCTTGGGTGCTGACTCTTAGCCTTTTTTGCTTAAGGATAATGCTCTACCACTTGAGCCACAGCTCCACTCCCTGCTTTTTATTGATTAATTGGAGATAACAGTCTCATAGACTTTCCTACTCAGGCTGGCTTTGAACCACAGTCCTTAGATCTCAGCCTCCTGAGTAGCTAGGATTATAGGCATAAGCTACCTGGTCCTATGGGAAAAGATAAAAGTGGCAGGAGGTAAGGCTGGAAAGTCCTTATGGAGACCAGATTTCAGGATCTCAAATCCCACATTCTTGGTTATTATCCTAATACACTATTTCCTACTCATGAACCCTTAGTACTACCCTTTATCTCTGTGATGTAGAGAAAACAATAGCCAGTATTTAAGACACTTTCTTGTCTCCATATCCATTCTCAGTATTCCTCTACATACTGTCTACTCTGGACTGTTGTCTCTTCTGCCTATTGCAAAAGCTGTTGTCATTCTAGCTTTTCTCACTGTGTCCCCAAATTGATGGTCATCACTTCCCTCCTATCCTTTTTTTCCATATATGAACCTCTCATTTGTAATTCCCTTCAGTCCAGTGGTTCCTAACTTGCTATTAAAAAGAAATATCCAAACCTTAGCACTACTCCACAATAATGGAATCAGAATCTCTTGGGTGTGGGTCTAGGGTAGTGGTATGTTTTAAAGATTCTAGGATGTATTTATTTTACACACAGGATTGTGACCCACTAACCTAAAATATAGAAGCCACTTCTTATCTTGGCCTAGTTTGGGAGGTTTTTGTGTTGGACGAACAGACTGTCCATTTTTACTTTGTTCTCAAACCACAACAGTAACAACCAGAAGACTTCTGTAACCTCAAAATATGCCATTAGTTCTTTAATGGTGGACATCAGCCGGCTATCCCCTAATCCATTTCAGTTCTATACTCTACCTAGAGATAGTGTAAGACCCCACACATTGATGGCTAATTCCCCCAACTATTCCCTTCAGACCTAGTCATCAGTCTGACTCTCAAACATCTGACCAAACTGTTGTAAATTGAGGTCCCTACCAACCTCTCTTCAGGTTCAATTAATTTGCTAGAACAAAGCAAAACAAAGCAAACACTGCTAGAGCTCAGGCAACCACTATACTTACATGTTACTGGTTAGCTGTAAAGGATATTTTAAAGGATACACAAATAAGCAGTCAGATGAAGAGGCACATGGAGCAGGACTGGAAGGGTCCCCAGTGCAAATCTGCCGTTCCTGTGGAGTTGGGATGTGCTACCTTCCTGGTCTTTGGATGAATCCTTGTTCACCTTCCTTCAGGGCTCCACACATTCAGCTGTCCAGAAGCTCTCTGAACCCTGTCCTCTTGGGTTTTATACAGACTTCATTGCATAGGCACAATTGCTGAAATATTGTGTGGTGAAACCCAGCAAAGCCTGTCTGTTCAGATTTTTCAGCATTCCTTCCTCACTGGTTCAGGCAAGACCCCTGAGGAATGAGGGTCTTATGACCTAGTATTAGACAAGGGTAGGTCAAAGATTTCTTAATAGCTAGCTAAAGGCAAAGAAAGATGTGTTTCTGTGACCTGCCTTAGGGAAGGAAAAATATCTGGTTTTTCATCACTTGCCTTGAGGGAGTTAGGAGGCAGGATCTGTGGATGAAAAACAACAAAAAAAATGCATACCGTACTGTGAAAGGGATGATCCGTGCTGGTACAGTCCAAGTCAGCCCCTAGACTTTGCTTAGAAAACAGGTCATGGGAAGATTCTTTGATTAGTTTGCAGGAAAGTCACGTAAACACTTCTGGCTGTCAACTGAGAAAATGAACAGAATTGAGATTAGGGAAATGGTTGTGGTGTTGTGGGGAATGGAGTAAATCTTACAAAATACAAGGCTTTAGTCTCTCCTGTCACAGTCATTACTAGTAACTCATTCAGGGTGTGTGTGTGTGTGTGTGTGTGTGTGTGTGTGTGTGTGTGTGTGTGTGTGTGTGTGTGAAGGCTTTAGTCTCTCCTGTCACAGTCATTACTAGTAACTCATTCAGGGTGTGTGTGTGTGTGTGTGTCAGAGCCTGGGCTCTGTCCTTGACCTTCTTTTTACTCAAAGCTAGTGCTCTACCATTTGAGCCAGCTCCACTTCCAGCTTTTTTGGTAGTTTATTGGAAATAAGAATCTCACAGACTTAACTACCTGGGCTGGCTTTGAACCATGATCCTCAGATCTTAGCCTCCTTAGTAGCTACAATTACATATGTGAGCTCACTGGCACTGGGCTCAGTTTTTTTTTAAGCTTCCTGTAATTTCATTACATACCATTATGGTTGCTCTACTTAATTCAGAGTATCGTAGATGTGTCCAGTGCACGTCATTCATTCTTTCTTCCAGAAAAAAAAGAACTAACAATAGCAGTAGTCTTTTCAAAATAGCATATGCTTCCAGTTATACCAGCTGTCCTAGTCTTTCTGTCTCTCTCTAAATGGACCATCATCCTCTTAGTTGCTCTACTAGAGGCCTGGGAATTTTTCCCTTATTGTCCTTCTTTAGCCCCATTTCCACATTAAGTTGGTTGACTAAATATCAATTTTCTTATTCTTTGATGCTACCCTGTTCCAGGTGACTGTCATCTCTTATTTGCATGGACTACAATAGTCATATCTTAATTATTTCTTTTGTTATTTTGTTTTGCTGGTCCTGGGCCTTGAACTCAGGGCCTGGGCTCTGTCCCTAAGCCCCTCTGTGCTCAGGGCTAGCGCTGTACCACTTGAGCCACAGTGCCCCTTCTGGCTTTCTCTGCTTATGTGGTACTGAGGAATCAAACCCAGGGATTCATGCACTAAGCCACATTCCCAGCTCTCTTTTGTTTTTTTGAGTAATTGCATCTACCCTCCACAAGTCCATCACAGTGGCTGTTACCATAGTTAGGAGTCCATTTTCCATAGGTTACTTCTGCTTAGCTTTCACATTTTATTTCCAGATCATTCCTTTAAAGGAAGCACCCTTTGTCCCCAAGACTAGATCTGGCACAAAACAGTCTTCTGTGAAAGTGTTGTTTCACTGAATGAATGTGTAGGTGAGTGGGTAGGCTGAATACTTGGATGAATGTAAGTGAATCCGTTTCAGGGCCAAAAGAAGTATTCAGATGGATCCCTACAGCCTTATCTAAACTCAGGAAGGAGAGATGATCATATGTTGACACATACAAGATAAGCCAAATGGCGGCAGAGAATTTAAAGGAAAAGTCAGCTTTCTTCCTAACTCTTAATCCCTGCCTTACTGCTTCCTCAGGATAACTACTTTTCCATCTGACATTCTTTTGAAAAAATCTAGAAATTGATTTGATTAAGCAAAGTACAGAATTTCAGATTCAGCATTTATGGACTAGTGCCAGGTAAGTGCATTGTGGTATAGAATGAGGTGGGGAATAAGCAAGAACTTTTTGATAAGTAAGGTTAGAATTTGAATGACCTTGAGCAGCAGTACACTCTTGGACAACTAGATTTTTTTATTTGTAAAATGAAAGTCTCTTAAGTTTCTTCTTGTTTCACACATCTCTAGTTCAGCCTTTCTCTTTACCCTCTTTCCCCTTCCCCAGGAGTGCTTTGAAGAAGATCCAGGGCGCAAGTGGATGGATGGCTTGCTCAGTAACCCAGAGGGCCAGGCTGGGTCCCAAGTAGGGCCTCCCTTCATTGATAGCTTCCGCTATTTCCAACCAAAGCAGGAAAGGGCCTTCACTTGCTGGTCAGTGGTCAGTGGTGCCCGCCATCTCAACTATGGCACCCGGATTGACTATGTGCTGGGAGACAGGACTCTGGTCATGGATACCTTCCAGACTTCCTTCCTGCTTCCTAAAGTGATGGGCTCTGACCACTGCCCTGTTGGTGCTGCCTTGAATGTGTCCTCTGTGCCTGCAAAACAGTGTCCACCTCTATGCACTCGCTTCCTCCCAGAGTTTGCAGGCACCCAGCTCAAGATTCTCCACTTCCTAGTTCCTCTTGAGCAAGAATCTGTGCTAGAGCAATCAGTAATGCAGCCTAGCAATCAAATCCAGGTGCAGAAACGACCAAAAAAAGCCCCTGTATGCTCGACCAAGCCGTGGCCAGATCAGGCTAGCTCCAGAAGAAAGCAGAAAGACCTAATGAGCTACTTCCAGCCTTCCTCAAGCCATCCCCAAACTTCTGATTTGAATCTACCTCACCTGTCTGTCATGGCACCTCATGTGACTCCAGAGACTTCTGAAGAAGAGGTGATGGCCCAAGTGGTAGAAGAACAGGCCAAGGCTAAAGATGAGAAGGAGGTACGAACCTTGTTCTGGAAGACTGTGCTGGGGGGACCCTCTCCTGTGCCCCTCTGTGGAGGCCACAAGGAGCCATGTGTGATGCGTACTGTAAAGAAGTCAGGACCCAACCTGGGCCGCCATTTCTACATGTGTGCCAGGCCCCAGGGTCCTCCCAGTGACCCCTCATCCCGCTGCAACTTCTTCCTCTGGAGAAAACCCAGCTGAAACAACCAAGGGTAAGGGATATCTGGTGTGGTCACCATAGTATAGGATCTGATGCTGAGGGCTCCCTTTCCTTCCTCCTAAGCTACCATGATTGTCTTCCCCCTTCAGGTTAACTTCATTCCTTCTCTTTTCCTTCTTTTCTTTCTATGCTTCCTTTTCCTTTCCTAATTTTCTTCTTCCCCCAAAACATCCTTCCCTGTCTCCTTTCCTTCCTATTCCAAGGCCTTTTTCCTTCTCTTGTTACCAACTCTTTCTTGTTGGTGAGCTTCTTATACCTCAATGCTGTGACCTAGTCTTCCACCCCCTCTCCCCACCTTCTTAAGAGGAGTACATGGAAAGTGTGCAGGCAGTTGTGATTTTTTTAAACCCTTCTTTCATTGCTGGGAAATGTATTTGTTCATGAATAAAATCTGTCTTTGTTTCAATGTACCACATTGAGTGGATATTTTGGATGGTCTTTATAAAGTTGGGTCAGAGAAGTTGTATCAAAATGGGGTTTGAGAGTAGGAAAGAGGAGCAGTGCTCATTTCCATAAAGGCTTCTATTGAGTTGTAGGAGTTCTCTGCAATGCTGAGGTGGGATCAGCAAAGAATATAGCACTTGTCTGAAGGGGTCAGCATAGTGCAATTGTTAGTTCTCTGTTGAACAAAAGGTTACAAAGGCTGCAGTTTGCTCTTTATTTTCAGATTCAAATCAGCTAGGGGCACACAACAAAGCTGAGGAGAGAGGAGGCCCAGCCTCAAGGGAAGTGCAGGTAGGGTAGCCATCCAAGGCAGCTAGCATATCAGGCGTAGGTGGTGACATATTGGGGTCCCATGTTCCCAAAGTAGGAACGCTCCCACTCACTCATAAGCTCAAAGTGCACTGGGCGGCGGCAGAAATTGCAGGCCGCAGCAGATACATCTTGCAGAGGCAGTCCCACTTCAGTCCAGGCTACCAGCAGCTTCTCTGAAGGTGGAAGAGAGAGGAGGGAAAAATGTTTAGACTTGGTTTTCTACATCCCTATGTCACAGTATAAAAGTATAGATATGTCAAAATGTTGTTCCTCTTAATCCTTGGAGGTGTGTAACGGCCAACAGTAGCTTTGTTTGTCCCAATGTGAGCTGTGGATATTGCCATTTATTTATGAGTGCTGAGATGTGTAAATGATTGAGAAGAAGCCAGCACCTGTCACCCATGACTCACAACTATAATGCTAGCTACTTAGGAAGCTGAGATCTGAGAATCATGGTTGGAAAGTCTGGGAGACTCATCTTCAGTTAACCACCAAAAAAAGAGCTGGAAATAGAGCTATGGCTCAAGCAGTAGAGTGCTGGGATTGAGCAAAAAACTCAGGGGCAGTACCCAAACCCTAGGTTCATGCCTCAGGACTGGCAAAAAAAGATTGAGAAGAAATCCTATGACAAAATTTCAAGTCATACTGGCTATCCCACTCCCTAAGTATAAGAAATGTGTGGGCCATGAGGTGAATTTATGTAGTTAGAACATCCTAGCCTGATGATGAAGATGATACTGTCACACTAGCATCAGTGTTGCATCCAGGGCAGACTTTGTTGTTCCTGAGGAGTGTGGAAATGTATGGAGGGAGCCTGATCTAGCTGTAGGAAGTGCATCAGATTATATGCCAGGCCTCTGCCCTTATAATCTTTTTATGTATGTATCTCTGATGACCTTGTGTAGCTCATAGCTTTAAACATCATCTCTATGCTGATTCTGAAATTTTCATCTCTAGCCCAGAAGTCTGTCTTAATTTCCAGATTTGTGTATCCAGTGTCATTTGTCCATCTCTACTTGGATGTTTAGTAGTCATCTCTAACTTAACATCACTGGACTAACTATTTATGTCCTTCCTCTCTATGCTCAGCCTGAAACTTTCAGAGCCAGCCTCCATCTTTTTCTTTTTAAGTCCACGTTCAGTCTGACAGCTAACACTGTTAGCTTCAGCGTCACAGTCTGATCACTATTGCTATCATTAAGTATAAGCCACCACCTCACCGGGAATATTACAGTGGCTGACCATTGACTTTCCCTGCTTGCACTTTTCTCCTTTTCAGGATATTCTCAACACAGAAGTTGAAGTGATTCTGTTAAAACTTATATCAGATATCCATTCTTAGATCTTTCCTAAGGATCTTCCAGTATAAGCCCAAATCCTTCCAGTGACCTACAATATCCCACACAATCTGGTTCCACATCCCACCTTACTTGCCTAATTCTTCTTCTATGTGTTTACACCACTCCACATTCATCATATTATTCCCTAAATATAGAAGGAATATTCTTCTTTTTTATTTTATTTTTTATTGCGAAAATACTGTACAGAGGGGTTACAATTACATGGACAAGGTAATGAGTACATTTCTTATCAAGCATTGTTGCCTTCTCCTTTGTTTCCCCTTCCCATCCCTTCCCATCTCCCCTCCCCTCTCCCCCGCCCCGCCCCCCAGAAGGAATATTCTTGTGCTAGAGTCTTCCCTACCTTAGGCTGTTCACTTTGCCTGAGATGCCCTTCTCTGGCCATCTAACTCCTTTACCTCCTTGAAAGCTTTACATAAGTGTCCCCTCAGTGGCTAACCTTGATACCTAGTACTACAGCTCAGTTCCAAACTACTGCCCTCAGCACTTCCCATCCTCCCTTTCTGCTTCTTTTTTTTTCTCAAAGCTCTTAGAACTAACATGCTATTTAACTTGCTTATTATTGTTTGTGCCAGTCCTGGGGCTTGAATTCAGGGCCTTAGTATTTTGTCCATGAGCTTTTTTGCTCAAGGCTAGAGCTCTACCTCTTGGGCCTTAGCTCCATTTCCAGCTTTTTGGTGGTTATTTGGAGATAAGAGCCTCGCAGACTTTCCTGTCTGGGCCGGCTTTGGACTGTAATGCTCAGATCTCAGAAAATTCGAAGTGTGACCTACTGGTGAATGGCAAATTTGCTTTTTTTTAAAAAAATACTTTGATTGTCTCTCTCTGGAAGAATATAAGTTTTGGAAGGCTAAGAGTTTTGTCTCATTTGTTAATTATTGAGTCCCCAGCATCAAGAATAGTGTTAGCCCACAGCAAGTATTTGTTAAATATTTATTGAAAGAACAAATGAAAGAATACTTGAGTTAAGCCTAGAAAAAGAAGGAACTGGACCAGAAGGGAGGAAGGAGGGCATTCCAGTCAGAAGATAGCAGTGTTAGCAAAGACCCAAAGGTAGAGAGAACAAATGGAAACCAAAGTCATCTGGTTCAGCTAGAGAAATAAAATATGAGAGGAGAAGATATAAATATAACTGTTGGACGCTGTGCTACTGAGTTTCAACTTTGTTTGGTAGGCCAGGTGTCTACAAACTTTGAACTAAACATGTCTCTCAGTGCGGACAGTTTAGCATGTGTCTCCAATGTCTATTTATGTATTATATACATGAATTATTGTCATCTTATATGTTAAATTCAGTATCAATAATTTTCTATTTATTTTTGTTCTTGCCTTGGGGCTTGAACGCAGGGTCTGGGCTTTGTCTCTGACTGTGTGCTAGTGCTCTGGTACTTGAACCACAGCTCCACTTCAGGCTTGTTAGTGTGATTTTTTAACTGGATATAAGAGTCTCACAGACTTCCTTGCCCAGGCTGACTTTAAACTTTGATCCACAGGTCTCAGCTTCCTGGGTAGCTAGGATTACAGGCATGAGCCAACAGTGACTTTCTTAAATTCTTATTTTTAAGATAAATATAAACATAAAACTCTTAATCCATTAACTCATCCCAGGGATTATCTTGTAAACCATACCTTAGAGATGACTACTCTAGTGTATAGTTGCTAGGGAAACATGAAGAGGGAAACATGGCCAGGATTTTAGAAAAATAATTCCCTCTGGGGGTTTGTACAGAGAAAGGATTGGAGAGGAAGAAGAGAGAGGCAAGGAAACAAGAAATTATGTCGACATGGATTAAAGAAAAAGCGGTAAGGAAAGGATAGATTTGAGAGAGGTTGCAGGAATGGGTTTCTGGATGGGTTGGCTGTGGGGTTGAGGAACTAGTGGAGTCATGATAGATGCTTTTGTTAAATCTTTCCTGCAAATGTCCAGTCTAAGTGAACACTCAGGGGCCTAAGAATACTGAGAGCTTATAACTTAAGCCCATATCAATAGAGACTGAATTAAAGGTCCAGCAGTAGACATGGTATTTGTAACCATAGTTATAATCCCCTACTCCATCCCCACCTAGTCCCTCTATGACCTTCAACCAATAACATTTTTTTATATGTGCTAGTGCTGGGACTCGAATTAAGGGCCTGGATGCTGTCTCTTAGCTTTGTCTAATGCTGCTACTGTACTACTTGAGCCACAGCTTCACTTCTGGCTTTTTGCTGGTTAATTGGAAATAAGAGTCTGAGGACTGAGGTTTGAAGCCAACCCAGGCATGAGTCCATGAGACTCATCTTCAGTAACGGGCAAAAAGCTGGACATGGAGCTGTAGCTCAAGTGGCAGAGCACTAGCCTTGAGCACAAAAGCTCAAGGACACAGCCCAGGCTCTGAGATCAAGCTTCAGGACTGGTGCCAGAAAAAAGTTTCATGAACATTCCTGCCTGGACTGGCTTCAAAATGTGATCCTCAGATTTCAGTCTCCTGAGTAGCTAGGATTACAGATGTGAGCCACCAGTGCCCAGTTTTTATGCTTTAATTTCCACATACACAAAATGGAAATGATGATAGCACATTAACATTGAAGATTCAGTTTGTTAATTCTGTAAAATGTTTAGATACTTTATAATTGTTAGCATCATTTAGTGCTTTTGAGTGACTGGATGAATGAATGAATTGTGCCTACCTATTTTGTCACCCTCAAACTCCTGTACTATCTGTCCTCCAGGCAAAACAACTTTCCTACATACCTCTGCTGTCCAGTCCATAACTCATTGCTGCTGGAATTCCTTTGTTTTGGAAATCCTTGTACCATATATAAATGTACTTCAAAAAGACTTCCTTACCCTACCCATAAAGCCCATTCAATCTTACCTCTCCCCCTTTTTGTGGCTATGAGTGAATTCTCTCCCCATAGCTCTCAGAAACACCGGACACCACACACACACACACACACACACACACACACACACACACACACTCTTGTGGCTATGAGTGAATTCTCTCCCCACAGCTCTCAGAACACCGGACACCACACACACACACACACACACACACACACACACACACACACACACACTCTTGTGGCTATGAGTGAATTCTCTCCCCACAGCTCTCAGAACACTGGACACCACACACACACACACACACACCACACCCCAAAATTCTTCCCCTTTTGTGGCTATGAGTGAATTCTCTCCCCACAGCTCTCAGAACACCGGACACCACACACACACACACACACACCAAAAACAAAAAGAGACAAAACTATATTCAACAGGAATCTAGAAAACTTCATATGAATTGATGAAACTGCACTTTTTAGGGGGAAAATCCAAACTACTCAGCTCTACAAACTTCTTAATATAGTCCCTATCTTGCATTGTCTTTCATAGATTCAAAAATTAACTGTTTCCCACTCCATTCCTACTACTCTATATTCTTTTTTAAAAATTTAATTTATAATTTTTTTGTCAGTACTTGGGCTTGAACTAAGGGCCTGGGCACTGTCCTTTAGTTCTTTTGCTCAAGGCTGGTGCACTGCCATGTGAGCCACTGCTTCACTTCCAGGTTTTGGTGGTTAATTGGACATAAGAATCTTAAGGACTTCTCTGCCTGGGCTGGCTTTAAATTCTGATCCTTCAATCTTAACCTCCTGAGTAGCTAGAATTACTGGTGGGAGCCACCAATACCCTGCTCCTATTACCCCATATTCTAGTAATACCTGTCTATTGTTCTTGATATATCTTAAAATGTTTATCACTCTCCTCCTTGTTCTTCATGTTTTTCCCTCTGCTCAAAATGTCTCTATTACACTTTTCTTCTCTTGGTACAATACTACTTACCTTGCAAGATTGAGCTCAGTTGTCACCTTTACTTGTGGGCCTTTGAATTCCTTAGACAAGATGAAGCCCCTCCTCTCTGATCCCATAACTCCCTAATGCACTGCCCATTAAGCTTTGATCACCCCTTGATGTTATTTATTGTGTCTGTGTTGGTCTTTGCAACTAAACTAGAGCCCTTGTCAATCTGTGAGCTGTTTCTCACCCGTTCATGACCCTGGTATTAAAGCCTGGCACCCAGAAAATAAAATAATTTCTAGATTGAATGGAATTTATCCTCCCAACTTCTTTAGATTCTAGGTCGGGGGTGGGAAAATAACCACAAAATTGAGTACTTACCCACAAAATTTTCCATCATCTGTGGGCTGTGATGGGGGGAAGGTGCCAGGCGCAGCAACTCCTCACCTCGGGGGACAGTTGGGTAGTTGATAGCCTGCACGTAGATACTGTGCTTGGAGAGTAGGAGATCACAGATCTTGCTGTTGAGTGCTGCATCACCCACCTGTGCTCAAAAGAAAGGTCATTGAATACCTGCCACCCTGGGCTTGCCACTAGCTCCATTAAACAGATGGAGGGATTCCAGTCAAGGAACATCAGTGAATTGGGGCTTGGATTTTTTTTCATAAGAGGCTTAGGCGTGCCACCTGTAGAATTTCTATTGAGGAAGAGCCTAGAGCCAGCAACTGCATTTGAAGGAGAGGTAGAATTAGTACCAAGAATCTTGGCTTGAAACTATTTTTAAAGGCAAGCACATAGATTAATTTGGGGTGGTTCTGGGTGACACAAAAATACCATGAAGGTATCTCAGAGATGTTGTCATTCAGCCCATGAAAAGGTCAGGTATTTAAAAAATGTTTACAAAGGAACATTAAGTTAGCCTAATGAGCAATTGTGACAATTATCCCTCTATATCTGTGGGCTTTCCCAGGTATTCAATGGATCGCAGATTTAAACAATTAAAAGAAAAAAAAACAATGAAACAATATGTATTTAGCAGGGCACAGTAGCACACACCTGTATTTCTAGATACTTAGGAGGCAGAGATCAGGAGAATCATGGTACCAAGCTAGTGCAAGCAAAAAAGTTCATGGGATTCCTCCAACTCAACCACTTTTTTAAAAAAAAAACAAAAACAAAACCTAGAGCATAGTTTCAATTGCCTGTCACGCCAGTGGTGTGGGATGCACAAATAAGGATTGCTGTCTGGGCTGGCCTATGTATAAATACAATACCCTACTCAAAAATTAAGGAAATCAAGATGGTCCAAGGGTGTGGCTGAAGTGTTAGCTCACTTACTTAGAGCAATAGCAAAGCCCTGAGTTCATACCTTAGTACCACCAAAAGCAAGAACCAAAAACAAAACAATAAAAAAACTCTGCATGTTTAATAAACCTAAACGTATTTTTTTCTTGATATTTCTAAACAATACAGTATTTATACTGAATTAGGATAAGTCATCTAGAGATAATTTAATGCATATGGGAGAATTTTATAGGTTATATGCAAATACACCATTTTATAAAGGGATTTGAGCATTTGTAGATTTTGGTATTGGCATGTGTGTGTCGTGGGTGGGGGGGGGGGTCCTAGAACTTATCTTTCTGCTCATATCAAGATGACTTTTTTCATCCACAAATGATTATAAGCATTCTTCCCACACATTCTGACTTACTGACTTACTTGTTCCAATAGATGTCATTTAAGAAAGAAATAGCAGTTCATTTTTGCTCAGAATATGTGTGGAAAGGCTCCTGCAAGAGACAGGTGGGGAAACAATGAAGCAGGGTGGCACTCTCACCCGAATGGGGATGATGTGGCTGGGGCAGGGGATGACAGGAAGGCCCTTATCCATTAGTAGCTGGCGCATGTGCTTGACATTCCGCTGGTGGGCCCTCCTCAGGGCCTGGCCCTCTTCTCCCTTGAGCAGACGCACAGATTCCAGAGCCCCAGAGAGCACCATGGGGGGCAGTGAAGTGGTAAAGATGAAGCCAGCAGCATAAGAGCGCACCATGTCCACCAAGTCGCGAGTGCTGGCAATATAGCCACCCACACAGCCAAAGGCTTTGCCTAGAAACAGAGATGAAAGATATGCATAGACTTTATCATCACCCCCCCACCCCAAGAAACAAGACCATTCCTCATTTCACACAAGGTGATATATCAGAAGCTGGGACTCCAGACTCCCTTTCCAGTCCTCTGCTCATCTCTTTTGTCCACAACAAGCAAAGAGTTGATAATTCTGTGAGTCTGAGATAGGGCTGTCAAGGCTTGCCATATGTAATGACTAGATAGGAGGGAGGAGGGTGGAGACCTTTAGCAACTTAGACATGTAATGGAGCTAAGATCAAGGCTGGAGTTGGTATTGGGAAGGAAAATAGAGTTCTTTACAAATTCAAATTGAACCTGGCTATTTAGCACAGCTCAGGGGGCTTTGCAAAAAAACAAAACTTTGCTAGATTTTCTCAAGAAGGGCTGCAGTAGGAAGAGAGTGAGGAGAGGGGATCTGGTAGGACAGTCTGGCAGTCAAACTTGATCTGTAAATTCTACCCCCAACAGCTTCTGCAGCTTTGGGGAACAGGAAGAAAAGGATCTGGCAAGAGCCTCTGGATTGCATGTAAGGGCAATTCACTCACCAAGAGTCCCAGAGACGATGTCAATCTTGTGCATAATTCCATCACGTTCCCCAATCCCAGCACCTCGGGACCCATACAGCCCTACTGCATGGACCTCATCCACGAAGGTCAGGGCCCCATACTGGTGGGCTACATCACACAACTCTTCAAGGGGACAGATGGCACCTGAGCAAAGACAAAGCAGAGTGCTTAAGAGATGGTTCCTTTGCCAATGTGGAATTTCCCATGTATCCCTACCTGGGGTTGGAAAAAATTGTTATAGAGAAAGAGGGGTATACACTTTCATTTGAGATGATCACACACTTCTTTACATGCACCAACCATTTGTACTCACCAGCTTTGGCTCTATGTGTGTGTATCTGTGTGTGTGTGCGTGTTTAAATAAATTGGGAAAACCCCTCATCTTTTGATTTAGGTTATTACAGTTCTAATTTCAGACCCCATTCATCCCTTGGCCAGGTACTTCTAACAGCTGTCAATGTCTCATTCTTCACTGGCCCTCCTTTAATCTTTCTGGATTTGTTACTATCTTCATTTTTGTCTTCATTTCTATCCTTATTTTTCTGTTTCTGCTTCTTCTCTCTTCTTCTTTCCTTTTCTTTCCCTTACTTTCCCCTTTCTATTTCTGTTTGTGCACCATTGTGTCTGTCTTTCTTCAGACTTTCTCTGTACTCTTGTGTCTGTGCTTCTTTGTGCTTCTGTTATTTTGTATTTTCTAGGTCCCCATGGGACTGTTTCTCTCATCTTTGCCAATGCAGTTTCCCAAGGGATCCTTAGGCAAAGTCATAATCTATGAAGTGAGAGTGAATTAGAAGTAATCATTTTCAATAGATTTATCATTTTCCATATTATTCTAGACATTATGTAGGTTGACAAATTATTCATAGATCTTCAAATGACTGTAAATCTCATGAAATAGACTTCGAAGCCAGTCTTAATATTGTAAGAATCCACAGCATTTTCCATTCTTTTACTCCTTGGCATATAGGAGAAACTTCAGAAAGGAGAAACAGGTGCTTCAGACCAGGAATAAAGAATGTAAGCAGTTGGTTGGACAACATGACAGGAAAGAAAAGAATGTGATGTTTCAAGTATCATTTCAAAGGGAAAAGTTCATTCTTGTAATTGACAGTTTAGCAGAGTTTCTACCATAAATAAAATGGAGCCATTCATTTGTAAATGTAAATAGTATGATCCCAACGTAATTTTCACTAGAGAAATAGTGAATTTGAATAGTCTTAATGCTAAAATATACAAATATGATAGTTTTACTTTATTACTGGTTGGAGAAAGGTGGGTGTGGTCATGGAACTAATTAATTACATACATTCATGTATTTCTCCCAGCTATTCTCTTAATACCTCCATGTTGTAAACAGGCTAACTGTGATACAGAACAATTTAAAAACTTGCCAAAGCTACTGAATTGTTCTGTTAGGATTTGAATATGGACAATTTGGGATTCAAGCCTATGTATACAATTATTATATGATGCTCATTACACTTAGGATAGCAAATCAGGGAATACTTTGGACCTTCTCTTGTTTCAGTTGTAAAAGGGACAAAATGAGGACCTTGTACTGTGAATATATCCAGAAGAATGTACTTAAATAACCTGACTTCTGCTCAACAGGGACAGCAATAGAAAGCTTTGAGCCTTGTTGCATCTAGGAAATAGAAAGGCACAGTGACATATTTCGATTAACACAAAATACATGGAATGGCTTCCATCATCTCCAATTTTACAATCAGATATTTTACCTTGGGGAACATTGATGCCCAGAGAGTTAAAGAGTTGTTCAAGTTCACAAAGATAAATGTCAGATGTGGGGTTTGAACCCAGGTCTGTGATCTGAAAAACTATTTTGATTCTAATGCTTCATATTTGACCTTAGGAGAAATCCTAGGTAATAATTTATGAATGTTTCCATTGTAGAAGCCAGACACAGATGATTGCTTTGCACATCATTTCTAGTGAAATGAGTATTGTGCAAGGAAATTGAAGTTATACATCCTTGGTGAAAATATGTTTGACACCAATTTCCTGAGCCAACTAAAACAGAATTTGATATCATCTGTGAACTTTACTTTCTTTACTTGTAAGATGAATGTAATTACGGCCTCTATCTTTTGGTGTCTATTAGCTGTAAGACTGGGTAAGTTACTCCAATTGAAACCACTGTCCCAGTTTCTCATAGAAAAAGAAATAAAGGTAATAATAGCACCTGTGTCATAGAATTGTCATGAAGAGTGAATGAATTAGTAGATATAAAATAGTAATATTTTTGCATGGCATGCAATTAACACTTTATAAGTGTTAATTATCATATCATCATTGTCCCCAACATATCATCATCATCATAGTCATCATCATCAAGGTTTTTGTGAGATACATATTAGTAAACATATTCATTCACACATATACGTACCATCCATGGAATGAACAGTCTCAAATGCCACAATTTTGGGTGTTTTAGGATTAGATTTCTCTAGAAGTTTCTTCAGATGATCAGGGTCATTGTGTCTGAAGACAAACTTGGTTGCTCCACTATTGCGAATGCCTTGGATCATGGAAGCATGATTGCCTGCATCTGAGTAAATCTCACATCCTGAGGGAACCAAATGTGTAATTCTTAAGCTTCTTTCTCAGTATACCCACTTCAAACTTTAGGTGTGACATATCAGGGAAAAGGTGTTCCCCCTCCCCTCCTTTCTTGAAGATCCTTCCCTGCTTCCTCCTCCTCTAGAAATCTTTGTGACACTCATTCCTCCCTTGCCCTGAATTCTGACCCTTACTTTCTTCCTGTCATTTGATTTTTTTTGTATGCTGGCCTTGGGGCTTGAACTCAGGTACTGGGGCTGTTCCTGAGCTTCTTTTGCTCAACACTAGCACTCTACCACTTGAGCCATAGTCCACTTATGGCTTCTTTTTGTGAGGGGAGTAGTTAATTGGAGAAAAGAGTCTCACTGACTTTCCTGTCCAGGCTGGCTTCAAATCATGATCCTCAGATTTCAGCCTCCTGAGTACAAGTATGAGCCTGGCACCTTCCTATCATTTCTAATTCCTCCCTGGCTTCTCACTGTCTTGGAGTAGAGATAAAAATTAATTTGACAAGAATCTTTAAAGTTTCTTGAAGATAGGGCCTAGGTTCATTCTCTTCAACAAATACAATTAAGGTTTACAGTGGGGTTAATCTGAGGGTATATCTGTAAACCAGGATGATGCTAGATTTTTCCTGGTCTGAAATCATACCTTTTTCAGGTAATCTATCTGCTTTAACAGTTACAGGAATGAATACTTATTAGGCTTTTTCCATTGGAAAAATGCTCATGACAAGTTAGAACAAGGACAGATAATGTCCATGACATCTATTTACTTTACTATACAAGAGAGAAAACGAAGGCCTTTCTTTAGAATATGAGGTTACAGAGAATTTTTTACTGGGAGGGCAAGTGAGGTGGGAAATTGGTACATTGTTGACTTTTGGATATTGGAAATTATACTGACATTAAAGAAAAGAGACTTTTCCTAAGAGTATGAGATAACTTCTACTTAAGAAAATGTCATGGTTTCTTGAAGGACATATCTTGGAGTTTCCTCAGAGCAAGAATAAAATCATTTTATCTTTATATCCTTTGTTTCCAGTATAAGATTTAAGTATACAATATGTGCTAATGAAAATGACTGGTTTAAGACTGGGTACTTACTGTCAGCTCATGCTTATAATACTGTCTGCTAAAGAGGCTGAGATCTGAGGATTGTGGTTTGAAGCCAGCCCAGGCAGAAAAGTCCATGAGATTTTAAATCTCCAATTAACCATCCAAAAGCCAGAAGTTGGGGTGTGGCTCAAAGTGTTAGAGTGCTAGACTTGAGCAAGAAAGATAGTGTCCAAGTCCTGTGTTCAAGTCCTAGTACCAGGACACACCAAAAATACTGTTGCTAGGCACTGGTGGCTCACACCTGTAATCCTAGCTACAGGAAGGCTGAGGTATGAGGATCTTGGTTGAAGCTAGCCAGGGCAGAGAAGTCCACAAATCTATTATTTATAATTAACTATCAAAAACTGGAAGTAGAAGTGTGGCTCAAGTGATAGAGTACCTATCTTCAGGAAAAAAAAAGCCAAACAAGAGAACAAGGTCCTAAGTGCAAGTCCAATATAAGCACAAAAACTGAATAGATTATAGGGTACAAAGAAAATTATGTAGGTTCACTAGATTAGTGTGGTGGTAAAAGAAAGGGCAGAAATTAGCCAGGTGCTCGTGGCTCATGCTGTAATCATAGCTACTCAGGAGGCTGAGATCTGAGGATAGCAGTTCAAAGCCAGCCCAGGCAGGAAAAGTCTGTGAGACTCTTATCTCCAATTAACCACTAGAAGATCGGAAGTGGTGCTGTGGCTCAAGTGGTGCTGTGGCTTCAGCTCACTTTGAGCTGAAGAGCTGAGGGACAGCACCCAGGCCCAGATTTCAAGCCTCATGACCGACCCCCACCCCCCAAAAAAAGAAATGGCAGAAATTGAATTTTAATGGTTAAAGAGGAGGGGAATGACAAAAGAAATCTGAGAAATGTTGACTTTATTTGAGATCATAGATGACCTCAGAAAACGATTCCAAGAAATAATTGTGATAGTGTGCTGAAGAATCCACAGGAGGTGAGGCAATAGATTACAAACTCAGTGTCTTCTTCCAGGCAGTTTGCTTCTTATAGGGATAGAGACAGGTTAGTAGCTACAAAATGATGAGGAGATGAGGCAATATGTATTTTCTAAGACGCAAGAGAATTGAACATGTTTAAAAATAGAGAGTGGCTGAGGATATAGAAGACTATGAGGAAACTGATCAAGGTTGCTGAGTAGATAGTGGGGAGTGGGACACAGAACCAGTGGAAGGATTAGTCAACAAGAAAAGAGGCATCTCTTCCATTGTGACAGGAAACAGTGAGGAAAGAACAGGTGAAGCTGCATGTGAATTTGTAGGTATTTTGTGGTTTGCAGTTGCTTGCTGTTTGTTGTTTTTACTTCCAGCAGGCTGGAAGGGGCAGGGAAGGTTGGGGATAATGGGAAGGTCAAAACTGCCCCCAGAGACTTGGATAATTGCCTAGGCAAACAGGATTGCCAGACAACATAGAGGGTAGAGTGGAATGATTTGTTAATGGTTTCCTTCTCAGCAGTTGTATGAGCCTAGGATCAACATGGCAGAATGTGAGAGTGTTATTCATTTGTGGCTGAGCTGTGTTGGGAAAATGACAAGGTATGATAAATTGATGAGGTTACTGATTGAGAATATGTGGGGGAATATGTGATTTAGTGTGTATGTAAATGGTCGCCTTTATGCACAAGGAGAGATGTGTCTTTCATTGTAACAAAAGAATGAGGAAAGGTAGATGAACAGAGAAGTTGATAGATCTAATGTTAATAAATAAGGAAATCATACCTGGTGGCTTTTGTATTATTTGGGCAGGAGATGTGGGTTATTTGGTAAGGTTTTAAAGGGGAAAGAAGGTTTGGGAAAATTTCTGTGGAGAAATAAAACTATTTATTGTATTAAGGGCCCTGTTGAGCTGGGAGTGATGAATTCATGGTGCTATTATGCTGTGAGGTTGGATGATGTTCCCTGATACTCTACTAAATCCAGGTATGGAAGGCATGAGAGGAGAAGGTTATAATCCTCTTTTTTGGAGGATATGAAAGGTAGGTAAAAAGGAGGAATAATGGGAGCACGTGAACTCAGAACAGAGGGAATGGTCTATTGCTGCAGTGAGACAGCATACTGTGCTGTAGGGTATCAGCCTTGACACAAATCTCAGGCCACTGACTTACCTGGCAGGATCTTGGCCATTGTGAAGAGAGTAGAGTCATTGGCCACAAAACAGGAAGAGAAGAGCAGGGCTGAATCCTTCTGGTGCAGTTCAGCCAGCTCCTGTTCAAGCTCCACATGAAACTTACTGGTGCCTGAGATATTGCGGGTACCACCAGCTCCAGCTCCATGATGTTGCAGGGTCTCCCTGGTCCAGAGGAAGCAGAAGAGAGACAAGGAAAAGAACAACAGAAACGCTATCAGGTGTGAAGCCTTTTCCAGATGTTACAGTGGTCAGTGTTGATTTAGGAAACCTATATGAATTGTGTCCTATGTGATTCAGTAGAGGAAAGACAGGAGACATGGGACCTTTTCGGGACTGAGGCACTCAGAGATGTTGTGGAAAGTGGAGAGAAACCAAATAGAACTTGAACCATTGGAAAATTTAAAGAGAGGGTCACAGGCTATCTCTGGCAATGCTCATTCTACAGTTAGATAAGAACTCATGAACAGTAGACTTTGATTGTTTTCTCATCCTCCACAATACCAGATATTCAGGAGTTTAGAAATTTGTGGTTGTGTTGACTGATTTAGCTTATATCTGAGTAGATAGCCTGAAAAACTTGGGCCAAAAGAGTTATAGTAGAAATCAGGTTTCCACTGCCAGCTCTGCCTTTCCCTTCCATGTGTACCTCATGATCGTCTATAGATATCCCCCACAGTTTGTGAACCAACTCTACTACTCACTGTGTTGCTTGCAAGACCCGAGGGTGCCTGCTCATGCCCAGGTAATCATTACTACACCAAACAGACACATCCTTTGAGGCCACAGATGCATCGGTGAAGTGTTGCGCAAAGGGGTATGCATCAGCCCAGCGGTTCACAGTCTTGAATACACGGTAAGTGTGGTCCAGTTTCTTTTCCATGATCTTATCTCTAAAGAATTGATCATAACCAAAGACATGGTCTCCTGCAGGAGTAGAAATGGGAATGAAAATAATGTATTTCAAATCTCTCTTTTTTTTTCTGTCAGTCCTAGGGCTTGAACTCAGGGTGCTCTCCCTGGGATTTGGCTCAAGGCTAGTGTTCTACTAATTAAGCTACAGCTACACTTCCAGCTTTTTGGAGGTTAATTGGACATAGGAGTCTCACGGACTTTCCTAGTTCAGGCTGGCTTTGAACTGTGATCCTCAAATCTCAGCCTCCTAGGTAGCTAGAATTTATAGGCATGAACTACTGGCACCTATATATCCATATTGTTGGCTTTGGGTTTTCCAAATATTTGTACTACCACTGTTTCTCTGGATTACATTAACTCTCCACTATTTCATTCAACTGTACTTTTGTTTATTCACTCATTCAGTAATTAATTTACACATTTCACTCAGGCTTCCTACCCTTGGCATGACCTCATCCCTCCTCCAAGGATTAGTGCAGAACCTTCTAACTGGAATTACTACTTCCAGTCTCGATGGAAGAAGCACTGACAGATCTAGTTTATAGATATATCTCTGTCACTTACTAGTTATGTAGCCTTGAGCAAAGCATAAATCCTCTGTCTCTGTTTTAATGTCCTTATTTGTAGACTGGACTAATAATACTTCTTTGCAAAACTGAGAACATCTGGTAACAAACAGTATGTAATGAACCTGAACTAACACCTGGCACATAGTAATAGTATCATTACTACTATAGTAACAATAGTTAATCAAAAAGATAATATTGAATTATATTATCATGACTAGTTTTTAATGAATGTCTTATAGATATGAAGTCCATTTTCAGGAACTTTAAAAATGTTATTTTATTTATTCCTCACAGAAACCATATATAATAAGTTCTATTAACATCTCTGTTTTATAGATGAAGGAACTGAGGCATGAGGCATGAAGAGGCATAACTTTTCAAGGTTATATAGCAAGTAAGTGTCCAGCAAGTAAGTGACATACTAGGTTTTTATGAAAAGGACTGGGCAATGGTGGCTCACATCTGTAATCCTAGTTACTCAGGAGGCTGAGATTTGAGGATCTCAGTTCAAAGTCAGCCTGGGCAGGAAAGTCCATGAGACTCCTATCTCCAGTTAGCCACCAAAAAGTGGGAAGTGGAGCTGTGGTAGAGTGCTAGTCTCAAAAAAAATGCTCAGAGACAGCATTCAGACTCTGAGCTAAGCTTCAGGATCTGCACAGAAAAGGTGAGGCTATGTAGTTTCTTTGAGTGTATTTATATGTGGATAAAACTAACATGCTGAGGCGGCAACAATGCTTGATAAGAAATGTACTCATTGGGGTTGGGAAGGTGTCTCAGTGGTAGAGCGCTTGCCTTGCATGCCTGAGGCCCTGGGTTCGATTCCTCAGCACCACATAAGCAAAAAGAAAAAAGCTGGAAGT